GTTTTATTTTCCCCTGGTTTTACTACCACACTGTTCAACAAACGCAGCAAACCTTCACCATCTTATCCAGAAACCTAATGGAACAATGGATATGCTGTCTTATTATCTGCACCTGCAAAGGAAGTTGTCTTCTGCAACTACTGAGACCAGTAGTAGTACAGTGTCACAGCTTAAGCATATGCATACACACTTATATATATATATATATATATATATATATATATGTGTGTGTGTGTGTGTGTGTATGCATGTGTATATATATGTACACAATGTGTATATGTCATAACTACAACCTGAGAGACAAATAGTGATATTTGGTGATTTACAAATTCAATATTCTGATATATGTGCCAATATTTCACATATATTTTTGTAGTTGTAGCAGTCATTTATTTACTCATTTACAGTAGAGATCAGAATTAGGTGCTTGTTGTGTTTGCAGTGTCCAAAACACCTTTGACCTTTTTTAGGTACTTTATTGAATTTTAAAGGGGGAAATCCACCTGGTGATATACTTGTTTTCAATGCAATGTTCATATCATATCATTTAAATGGGTTATAATATTTAGAATAAATATTTAGCACGGCTTCAGCAAAGATACAAAAGTTATTCTAAGTTTAAATTCTGCAGGTCTCAGAAACCTTTCCAGGTCATAATTTTATTATGAAATGACAGGATAATATTGTATGTTCACAGACCAACTATGCACAAAGCAGTTTCAGAGTATTCGGAGACATATTCAATGACCGTGGTAATGGTTAAGTGCACTTTTTGGGAGGATGTTTTGTCTTTTTACTCCAATTCCAACAACTGGCATGCCATTCTTTTGGTTAAGTTTTTTACATAAATGTGATGTAAACACTGTCTTGGTAATTCTGCTAATTTTATTAGCCGAATGAATCCATGTTGTTGGTAAACTGAATTGTTGTTCTTCATAAGCCACAGCGGAAACAGTCAGGGGCAGCAGTTCTTACTTTGGCCTTTTAGACTAAGTTGTTCACATAGTGATTTTTCCTCTTTATACTCTGCAGTTTGACCTTTATCACAAAATTGTGGACAAGTGGTCACTGTCCGAGACTGGACTGGTGCTAAATTGTCTTACGTAATCCAGTCCTGGCTTAGGATTGAATACAGTCAGGTCTGTGTCCTCTGGGTCACTTTCCATGTCTTGAGTAACGGCAGTGATGCTCTGTGGCATTACCTGCTGAAACATTTCCATCGTGGTATAGCCACTTGGAAAGGGAAAAGGAAAACTTTGTAGGTCTGTCTGCTGGGTTTCCAACAATGTGTCTGTAGTATTGTTGGGAGATATATTGCCAGTTCCATCATCTGTCTCTGTTTGGATCCAGTTACAAGTAATTCCTGGTGAATCTCCCCGTTTGTCTAAGCCACAAAGAAGCGGTAGCATTGCTGGCAATATCGTGGCAGGGGCGACAGCTTCTTTCTCAATTATATGGAGACTTTTTGTTTCCCATTCTTCAGCCTTCAGAGTATTGATTGCCTCAAGGAGTTCCTATGTGACCAAATGACACACTGATGTATTTAATTTTATACAACATATTTCATCTGATGCACTGAGACTATAATAGCAGTCCCCTAAAATAAGTTTCAGGTTGTATTAGGTTTCCACAACATTAAAACTGTGTGCTTTGTCACAGCTGACACTTACCAGTTCACAGGGCCTGTCTATTTTCTGCATTGTATTGCTCTTTCCAGGATTAGGTATGCTTGGCCAGAGGACAACTTTTGCTCTAAAAAGCATTAAAGGAATAGTTAAGGTAAAGCTTGTGCACAGTGGTAGACATAGCTAATTAGCGACTTTGGTGGAATCCTGTTCCAGCTATTGGTTGACAAGTTGTACCTTTTTATTATTGGTGGTCCAAATATCAGTCCAGCAGCCAAAACTGCAATGGCTGCAATAATACTAGTGAATTTAAAACTTCCTGTGCAAATAAATAAATAAAGGCACAAACAAAAAATTAGAAATTTAATTATATGTACGGTTGATGGTTGAAATATTACATGACTGACCTTCTTGAGTCGTCGTAAAAAAGTTGGGTTCACTTCGTTTTCCTGTTCCTTTAGAGGTGAAACCTGATATCTGGACTTGGTATGTTGTGCCACTTGTAAGATCCTTTAGTTCATACTTGTTAAAATTAGCATCCACTGTAATGTCTGCAATCAAAATGATAGTTTTTGTCATAATTAGCATGTTAGCATTGTCTTTATGAGCATGTTAGCAGTGACATTAAAAGCATGTTAGTACTGACATTATAAGCATGTTAGCGTTAGCATTATGAACATGTTAGCATTGACGTTATGAACATATTAGCATTATCATTATGAGCATAGCATATTAGCAGTGTCATGGTGAACATGTTAGTGTTGTCTTTATGAGTATGTTAGTATTATCATATGAAAATATTGTCATCATGAGCATATTCACTTGCTGAAATAGCAGCAGCGGTGTTAGAATGGCTTTCCTGTCAAATGATTTTGGAGTATTTTAATACGTGAGTGGAAGACTTTTGAAAGAAATAATGTAACAGTAACATTTGATTGTAGATTATCTTTAGGTTGCTCAGCCATCTTGACAAATCAGTCCTATCCAGAGAGTTAATTAGGTTATGATGTCATAGCTACATCAAGTAGTGTATGAGGTCATTAAAATCAAGGCTAAAAACTGCAGTGTGATTACAGCATTCATTAACTTCAGGAGAACTGAGAAGAGTAAACAAAGTAGCTGACAAACAGGAAATTTAGTGAGGATAATGCATGTGCTGTAGAGCAACCAGTAGATGTGATGCCAGTGCTATTATTATATTCAACAAAATTCAGCAGTTTATGAATAAGCTTATGAGTAAGTGGAAGTGTCTTACTGTTCTCAGATTCTGTTCCCCTCAGGTGGTTCTCAGTGTAGTGAATTGTGTAACCCAGTAGGAAACCTCTGGTGTCTTCTTCTGGGATGGATGACCACTGCAGCACCATTGAATTCTGTGTCAAATTGTAACTGCTGATGTTTGCGGGACCACTCACAGGAGCTTTAAGAATGACACGGGAAAGCAATTTCAAGAGGTCAGAGTGTTTTGTTGGCGACTTGTAATGTATGTGTGTCTGCTTGTTTTGGAGAAGAGTGCCTGTGCCTTACTGCCTTCCATGAAATAAAACTTTGTGCTTGCAAACGTT